GTGAGGGGGGTATGTGTAAGTCTGGCCCAAGTCGCAAACAGAAAGGAAGTTCTGGAAGGAAACGTTTAGATGACACAGGCCACATCAACGCGGGTTTAAAGACCTTGAGAGACTTATCAGGGCCCACTGCTGGCTAGATGCTTCATTTCAGAAGGTGAAATGGTTTGAAATCCTGAATCAGTAATTACTCTGCTTAAACTAAATCTCTAAGGAACTTTAACTGAAAAATTAATCTTCACAAAAGCTGATCAGATTTTAAACAGCCTAAACTGGTAGGTTTCTGTCACAGACAAGATCTAGGGGTCAGGAACAGTTAATTCTCTGCTGCCTTGTGGGTGTTATCAAAGCTGTATCTTGACTATGCCTCAGATGCACTGATACACAGAGCATTCCCTTAGGAAAATTAGCTTTAGTCCAGCAGTCCAATTAGCCAGAAGCAGCACACCAGGAATACAGCTGTAGTGCTTCCAGGAATGAGTTTGATCCAGAAATTGTTTGGACGTTGCCATGCAAGCCTCAGAGACTTGTGTCGCTTTAGTTTTTAATCAAAGCTTATTTGCTGCAGCTATGTGTCAGCCCTGACAAACCCTTGCCTGCTCCATACAGAGTCAGCCAGACGTTTCCGAATTGTGCTCTCTAGTTTCAGAAAAGCTTGTAAAATTGGCATGGCAGACTACCCATGGAATTAGGGCTGACAGTGTAGCAGGAAGATGGTCTATTTAGATCTGAACCAGTGGTGCAGAACCACTCTGGGTATGCCTGCATCCTGCTGTCTCAGGCTTTTTATGCTGTATACTGGAGGCCTGATTGAAATAAGGAACAGCAGGAAGTAGAAAGCTCTCCTAACTTGTTGATATGATGGGTTGAAAGTCAGACAAACTTGCAGCACAGTAATGCAGGAGGGATAAACTGTAGCTATTTCACAGACTCTATAAAAGTGTTTTTAAAAGTACGCCTAGTGTGTGAGCTTTTAAGGAAAAAAGAGTAATTGGATATTCACTAGAAAATGGTTGAAAGTAGCAACTTTGTGGCAGTGCAGGTATCACCAGACAGTAGTGTTTCATACTGAGACCACTTACTAAGGATGGTAGGAGTGACAAGAGTGTGAGTCAAGGCTGGTTGATGATCCTTTGACCACAACAGGAGTGTTCAGTTACCACACCTGTCTAGCACCAGGCTAACAATAAGATCAAGATGCTTCTGCTTAACAGATGATACAGGAAAGAAAGTTGCTTTATGTAGTTTTGTTCAGAAGATTATGAAGTTGCCTGCACATACGTTCCTACTCCCTTTTAAGGAGCATCCTGAAATACAAAAACTTTTCTTGAAACTGCTGCACAATATAGTCATGGATCATCTTATGTAGAAAAAGGACACATCTTTTCAGGTTGCATCAAGCATCATGAAAACTCTTCTGTGACAAGAGCTTGAATGCGTACAGTACCACGGTTAGAACATGCCTGCATTTTTACAAGGACGTGAACAGGAGTAACTAGAGTTTTGCAAAGCTCTCCTATTCACAGCCCCTTTCTGCAGCTGAGTTTCAGATTTGCAACAGCATTCAGGGAAGGTGCCAACCTCCAATATAAGAATTTCCATTTTTTTCATACTATCCAGTGTCATGTATTTCACTTGCTTCCCTATAAATCTCTTCTCTTACCTAAGTCTAGTTCCTGTGGACTGGAAGAGCACAACTTTTTCCAAAGATGCCAAACCATCAGAGAGGAGGGGAGAAAACCCCAACCAAACAAAAAAACCCCTAAACTACAAAGTGGATTTGGATACACTAATTGTTAGGCTTATTTATCTGCTATCAATGACTTAAGTACAAGACATTTTCCTTCGTTCAGTATATCATGGCTTGCTATTTTTTGTTAAATTTATTTTTCTTTAGTTAAGGCTTTTCATTAGAATTTGCTATAGTTCTTGGATGTTGATTTGTCATTAGTTGTCCATTAGTTGTATACTTGAGCATCCAGTCTTAGTTACAGGAAAGCATGGATACTGTCCTGATTTCCTGGGGAGCCAATCTAACAAAAAACAAAAATCCTTAGTAGTTTTGCAGTATCCTAGTGTCTCCATTTCTCTGTCAACGTGTAGCACATCAACTGCACTTAATCACTTGTATTGATGGCTTTCAGTTTCAGTTATTGTTTATATATTTGACTATTTGCTTAGCCTTCGTAATTAGGGGTGGCATGCAATACTTTGTTGTATTCTGCTGACTTCAATTACATTCTTTTTCTACCTTCTGAAAGATACATTTACCTCAAAATAATATTTTATCTTTCTGTATCTGGGTCTTAATGCCTTAAACTAATAATAATGATATTTCTTTTTCTTAAGTTTAATTATATTTTGATTTCCTTAATTCACCAATTTACTTCTGTAGATGGCACTAGACAAATACTGATTTACTTTCCAGATCTGTTTAAAAAAAACCCCATACCTATAACTACAGCGCTTTTTGTTTAATGGAAGCTTTAATTGTTGACATTCAGGTCTAATGACTTCAATAAGAAATGGACCTATCTTTTTAGAATTTGGGCTTCAGTTCTTCAGATGCACTTTTTTTTTTTGCTTTTAACTTTTTTTTTTTAATACCTTCTGTGCTATTATTGCATGCTTAAGAAATAATCATGCAGAGTCTAACCCCATCTTTCCTTCTTTTAACCTTTCTAGGGCTTGTGCTACAAAACTAACTGCTGATTTGATTTTTCCACTGAACTATCCTCAAGGTATTTGTAGTATCCAGTGATACTTCATTTAGGAATACATGGAAACAACTTTTCCAAAATCTATTGCCATAGTCTGAGTTGATAGACCGTGGGAAAGTGTTTTGGGGCAGCTCTGATACTTGAACATTCATTTTGTCTCTTCCTCTTGCCCTTTTCTTTCCCCCTTTAGTCTACTGTATGCTTTGCAATGAGAAACATCATCTAATCTTGAAGGAATGGGTCAAAGCCCTGATCCTTATGCTTTTACTAATAAGGAAGCCAGTTCTGCAACCCTACAAATAAAATATTTGCGTTGTCCTGTGGAACTTAAAACTGGTATGGACTAAGTGCAGTCCCTGCACCTGCAGGCAACCATATAGTGGCTATCTCGTCCAGCTGAATGCTTGTTTCACACATAACCTAGTGCCATAAACTGAGACATCTCAACATCCTTTAACAAATTAAAAATTTTACTGCAAAAGCATGAAGACAAGTCTCAAAAAAAAGGCCTCCTGTAAAAAAAAATGACATTAAGAGCTTTTCTGTGCTACTTACTGTAGGGGCAATTCGTACTGCCATCTGGTTTAGGCAAAAAATTCTGATCTCACATCCACTGATAACTTTAAACGTAGGTGTAGGAGCAAAAGGTATCAGCCAGACACCTATGAAGATTTTCAGTACTTGAGCAGCACAACAGCACACTGCCAACCATCAGAAGCTTAGAAGTAACACAGTAAAAATATGAGACAAATAGTATCAACCTCCAGAAGAGACTAGGAGGGAAACCTGCTCATTGAACAGAGTCTGACACCCAGGACTTCATAATGCTGCAGATTCTACTATAATACCTCAGTATCTTCCTGTAGGATATATGCTAAGGAGCCATACCATCTCTACCTTGTATTCTTCCTACAAGGTAATAGCACATTGTATGGTTTATAATAAGATACAGTCCAAAGTATGGTGAATACATACTGCCTATAAGTTTCTTGAAGTGTATGGGATCCAGCTTGAACAGTTGTTTTGATTTAAAACAGAAAGCACAGACCAGTGGCTGGAGTGAGAATAACAACAAAATGTATATTCCAAGAATCTCATATAATGGAAGCTTTTAATATTAATGCTGTAAGACATCAGTAGCAACCGTTCCAGTGCAAGCCAATCGATGGTCTACTTTGACAAACAGTTTATAAGTGAGGTGAATGCTACATCCATGTGAGGGCAAAATAACAAGCAGAATAAATATGCACTATGGAAGAGTAGGAGGAGAAAATAGAAAGTGTCTGTGAAAGTTTACCAGAGACCAAAGGATTTAAACAACATGGGCCAATGTGTTTGAGACTTAATGCCAGCCTGCACCTCTTGTTATTTTGATTGGAAAACCATTTTTTTCTGTTAACGTGCAGTAACATCCACCAAATCCAGTTTTTCTTTGAATTTTTTTTAATAAAGAATAATAATTTTTTTTTTAATTAAAAAATAAACCTGAAAGCTACTATACTTGCTCTTCCAATCTAAAATGAAAAAAAGAGAGGCAGGTATACTTAAACTAGAGAAAACAAGCTTTTAGATAATGAAAAAATGGAAGTGTCATTATACAGATGTGCCTAACACCAAGCCTATTTTTACCGCAGCAGTGGAAGTCTTGTCTTGGTTTTCCCAGTAACAACACGATCTATATGGGGCCATACATTTCAGCTAAGGGAAATGCAAGGTGTGAACCCAGAGAGGCAGCAGCATATCTTTCTGAGTAAAGTGGCTGGAGGTGCTGAGGTGATGCATCAGATACTCAGCTGAACAGCCAGATCAGTAACAGCCACCCTGGAAAAGCACAACAATGTTGTATGTAGTCACGTAACTACCAGTAAACCACAGCACAAAACTGTTCCATGTTGCACATATAACAACTTGCAGTAGCTCCCAGTCAAGAACATAATTAGCCAAGCTATGGGTGGTTGACAGAAGCATTATTTCCTCACTGGTATCTGTGCTGTTTGGGTACCTTTCTGCTGCGTCACGCTGGCATTGCGTGCATGTCATTGAGCCACGCAGTTCAGCTCTGAGTAAGCATGCCTAACAGTTTAAAGACCCAAATGAAGCCATCTCATAGAGGCCTGGGGAGGCAGCAGACTGAAGTCATAGCTGAAGCCTTTCTGCCCTGCTTGTTTGAAATTGTTGGTCCTGGAATAGTTTGTTTACTGGACCATTTGTTGTGGTGATTCAGTTGTCCTTACTGAGGGGTAGCTCAGTTGCTGTAACAGCTTGAACCACGTGGTTTAGGGCTACACATAGGAGCCCAGATTGGTTTTGTTTATTATCAGGGCAGTGGGACTGTTCTCATTTAGCTTATAACCTCCAGTTAGGAAGACTTGTGTAGTACAAGCTGCAGCACTGTATATGGGGACAAGAAAAGCACTACCAAAGGAGCTGAGAACTGTAGGTATACAAAATGGCTCTGACAAACAAGTTGAAGCATTTAGTGCTTTTACCATACTAAATGGATGAAAATGAAGAGGATGAGGTCCATTTGACTATGCATTAGGTAAAAAAAGATACCACACCTTAATGAAGTTGCAGGTGATCCTGGAAAGAGCTGCAGCTATGCGTGTATGGGGTTTTGAAGACTCCTCCTAACCTGAGCAGTGTGAATGTGAGTGAGCTGGTTTCACTCCGGATCTCTTGATTGCATTTGCATGGTGAGGAACTCAGACTAACCATTTTATCTTAAATTTGGAATAGGTTGGGAACACACATAGTCAATTAGAGCTATTCAGTGAATTAACGTTGGTTGGCTAAATAACTGGTTGGTTGCTTGTCTGCCCGTCTATTTAAATTCTAATACTATTACTTAAAGCAAGTTGAACTTCAGCATCTTTACAGCTCAACACAAAGTAAGTGAGGAGTCTGTTAATATTGGAGAATACATTCTCATGAGAGTGTCACATACTTGTTTTGCTTTATAGTTACACTAACCTGTAATTTACAGTTGAGTCATTGTTCTGTCAACCTTGCTAAGTACAGGCTTTCAAAGAAAGAAAATTGAGCTAACATGGGGCTAGTGGCATTGGTTGAGCAGCCACAAATGGGTTCTGCCATTTTTTATTTCTCCTTCAGTCAACTCTGTCTTTCTCTGCAGAACACAAGGAGTATTTTTAAGGGGGCTTGCTTCTATTAATAAAGCTACACATTACCATTTCTTTGGGCTTAGTGGCAAATATATTCCCATTATTTAGCATGGGTTATAATACAGCTCTTTATTGTTTTCACTTTCAGTGTAACTGCCTGTAAATACAAGCATTTTCCATAGTCACCCTGAGTTTTATTCATCACAGTTGCACTTTTTTTTAAAAAATTAAAATGGATGGCCATACTTTATTCTTGGACCTCTCAGGTCTAGTTTTCTATTTGTATTCCCTCTTCATTCCACTTTTCAATACATATGCAGACATATGCAGTCAAACCTTTCTAAGTTCGCTATTTTCTGGTAAGAATGGGTTTGAAAAAGACTTCTGTGTGTGTAGCACTGACAGAGTGCTTGTGGGGTGGGAGGAGCAATGGTGCACCACCTCATCCCACACTTTGTGGCCTGCTGCTGCAAACATCCACGTGGAAGATACTTAATACTCTTTTGTACAATACGGAAGCAATGCAACATGCATTTTCTGACTCTTTCTAAGAATGTATATGGGAGAAAAGAAAACAGCCCCATATCCTTTAGGAAACAAATCCCCAAACAGATTCCTTATCTCTCAAACAAATACCTTCATCTTTCCTTTCAGCAGTAAGAGAGCATAGGTATTGATCATTTCTGGCAAAGACAACTGGCTTCCACAGTCCATAGCATAAAATAGATTATGTTAGCAGCAAGCAGTGGCTTCACTTAAAACAGTTACAAACTGTTATATTAGACAGAACTACTTTACAGTTAGCTTTCCTCAGGCCCCATCATTTTAGCAGCTGGGTTTTCCTGTTTTCACTTGTAACTTTATTAGTAAGTAAGGCACTGTAATCTGTGCTTCATAATCATATTAAAATATATCACTTTCTAGGGAGTCCCTTACAACGAACAAAGGAGGCTGTAAGCTTAGCATCTTGTGCAAGGCTTTGTCCAGTGAAGAGCTGTTCCTGTTAGGGGAAGAGAGAAAAACAAAACATACACAGGACTATCTCAGCTACAGGAGAGCTTTTGCAAATTACTACTCTTAGGAAAGGGTAGTAGACTTACGCTATTTGAAAATGTGTAGTACTACATCTACCTCTTAAAAATATTGCTGGATCGAGCAGGTTTTTTTCCTGTTACCCTTCTCTCTACAAGAGCTAGCCATCAATTGGAGTTATATTGGAAAAGCAGCAGCTTTTTTTCCCCCCCCCGACCTAAGCTAGGATCACATGGTGGTAATCCTTTAAGTTGTGATGGTGCACAATCTCTAGAAAGAAAACTAGAATTTTTATTTTTTATTGTGAGGGAGTGGTAAGAAATCTATCAAGTGGGCATTATGGCTTCATTTCTTCTGGCCTGCAGTCACATCATTGTCTGGTTTATATTTGAAAAAAAGAAGTTGGGTGTTAATTTTTGGGCTATTAAAGAAAGTTCTAGGCAAAGAGAAGACCTGCATGGCTATTTTAGAGGGTTGCTTTGTTTGTTTTTTTTTTTATTCTATTGCTCAGAGATTGCATAGTCAACAGTTTGGGTTAGTCAGGTGGAAAATCAAATAGAAACATTTCTTTGAAATAGCAGTACGAACTTAAAAATGCAGATGTCATCCCTTAACATCTCATCTACAGTTGGAAAGTTTGAGGAAAGCTGTGTAGCTTACCTGCTTCTGTAGTTGATCCAGAGCACCTCAAGTGACACAACAAGGCACACACAAATCCCCTTAAAACAAAATACCTGAGAGTAACATGAGGAAGCTTTTCAGCTTGGTCATCGTTCACTCACACCTGCTTCCTCTTACGAGAGTTAAGTTGCTACACCTGTCCATTTGCCTACTGGGAATTCCTGCTCCTCTGGAGTGGGAGGGATATCTGGAAGTAAGTTGTCAAACTGCTTGCCCCCTTCAATTCCATAGCTTGTTAATAAATTATAATTATTCTTACACCACACCCTACATTTATTTCCGGCATCGCAACTGGAAGAGGAAAGAGAAATCAGATATATAAACCCACTGCAGTTAGGCAGCAGTAATCATCACAGCAGCAGGACCAAAGCCAAAGCAGTCCTGCTTGAATCTGTTTGGAACCAGCATAGCAGCTCCAGAATTGTTGGTGTAAACACCTTCCTCTAGCATGACATCAGACCAGGGATAAACTTGAGAGCCATTTTTTTTTCACTTTATGGTATAGGACCAATTCATCCATTGCCAGGTTTATAATGGGATACAGGCCACTCTGGGTTCAAAATAGATTTGCAACAATAGTTGGATGCTGTGTGCCTAAGTGTAATGGAGCGCTAAGAATAAACCAGCAGACTAGACAAGACGTAGACACTTATCCATGATACGTGGCTATTAAGCATCCAAGTACTTCTGTTACAGCTTCATCACTTGCTGCTAGGAAACAGCACCATTAATTTCTTCAAACTGCTAGTGATGAATAATGTACCACGAAAATGGGAGAAATTCCTTGGTCCTTGCACAATCAACTAATTGGAACAAACACTCACAGCGTGGAATAAATGAGTAAATATTTCCTTGTCAAGCTGGCAGGAAAACATACAAAATTAAGAATTCCCTCCTGCCCCCACCCCGTGACTGACTGCAAAACACCTAGCTTTCTCACACAAGGCTGTGCTGAAACACTGATTTCTTTTTTTCCTCTGTTGTGGTTCCTCTTGTTTCCACTGGGGAAGTCTGCTGCTGTGCATCAGAGCAAGATAGCCTGACATCTATTTATTTTGATGTAACAACAAGAAAGGCATTTTGACCTTGTAATCAGAGAATCCTAGCTTTTTTTTTTTTTTTTTTGCTAGCATCTCTGGACTGTTGTTTTCCTAATTTTATTCACGGTCTAGCCCAACTTCTTCAAACTTCTTTCAGCTTCACTGTGAGTTAATTGAGAATGGAAATAATTGCTCAACCAAATAACAACTGACTGTCCTCAAGTGTTCTGCATGTGCTTAAGTGATTTGAGTAAGATCATGCTCCAGTAGTTTAAAACGTATGAAAATAAACTTTGAAAGCAATCGGACTCAAATTCTTGTAGGTAGAAACTAATAAATGGAACCAGGCCCCTGGCGTGTTGAATTGCTTTCGTAGCTCTGCTGTCTCTAGCTTCCCTGTTTCTTTACATCTGCCCATCCAGTTTGCAGAAGCAGCTGTATCAATACTAATTTATTGAAAAATTGTTTTGCAAGGAGCTAGCTCAGGTGTTTTTATGTCCATGACATAGCTAATTTGTAACTGGATGAGCTGCCATGAATAACCGAGGAGATGGCTCTATATGAGCTGATACTGTTTGTTCATTCCCGTGGGAAATAAGTGTATCTTCCCAGCATATGTCATTTGTAGGAGTCCATAGAAAAAGGCCATAAACTAGATGATTTTCCAATAGATAAAACACTTCCTCTTCTGAGATTATTTAACCTCAGGGCAGAAAAAACAGGGAATGCTGACAATGCTATGAGGATTGAATGAAGATGAGGAAGAAGAATATAACTGAAATAGTCGTTGTGAAGAATCAAGGAGGGGTTTTCGTGTGGGTTTGGGGTTTTTTATTTTTGTTTTTTTTTAGAAACACTCCATATTAGCATATGAAATCAGTTTTAGAAAATGCAGTGATATAACTGCTAGGGATTGCTTAAGAACAGCTGTTGCCCAAAGGAGTGTTTTCTGTAGAAGTCATTCCTCTTCTGTGGTGTCAGAGCTGCTAAAATTCTGGTAGAAAGTGGAACTTACTGTAACACTGTAGGTGATATGTCAATTTGGAGGACAAGGATGACTAAGAAACCGATCTGCACTTTGGAACTTATTTTTAAAATGGATGTTTGTATAAGTATCATGTTAGTCCTGACAGAATCATGTTACCATCCTGTTTGGATTGTCTGACCTTCGATGCTTCTTCCAAGACTGCAGGAGACAGAGAAAAGCGTAATTCCATAAGGCCTGTAGGGAACCAGCTGTTCTAACATCTTGGGATATGGACAAATGCTCTCATTTTTCTGTTGATTCTGGAACATGCTTGAAGTGAGTCGGTGACTTATATTCACCAAACGTCTGAAGTCTGATATGTTTTATGTCTTTCTTTGGGTAAAGGGAGGGAATAGAGAATTTGTATGGGTCCGTTCACTTCAAACTCAACATGTAGTAAAGCAGTCATGAGTAGTCTGTGTTACTGACAGCCTTGCCAGTTAGCGGTTGTAGCCTTTCATATTACATAGCTTGTCTTGGAGGAAGGACCGTAAAATTCATGTCTTGTAGTAACAACAAAAAGACTTGTTCTCATGAATGTTGCAGTGCTGGTTATACAATACTGTTTCTCACTGAGCATATGCAAATACTTGCATCAATCGCTTGCTTTCAGCAACATCCTTAGTCTATCTTAGTGGTTTATATTACTGGCTTACAAATGGTAGTATAGACTTAACTGTTGTACAGCAACAACGTGACTTTGATATCTTTAACTATGGCTGTGCTGCTTCCATTAATTGGTGTAAGCTGCAAACAAAAAACCCCAAGATCTTTTGCAATTTCTTCACCCAAGGGGCAAAGCCTCTTGGCCATGTGGCAGCAGAAAATATCAAACCAGCTGTAACATAATTCAAATAATTTGCTTTCTGCCAGGTAAATTGGTCCTAAATACTTACAGCTTCTCATAGCTTCTTATGGCCTTACTGGTCTTTTTACATGACTACAGTGAACGCCTGCCTATAAAGGAGAACATGCACTTTCTGAGGAACAGCTTCAGAAGTATTTTGTTGTGTACATGCCATCTTTGCTGCATTAACAAACTTCAGTTCTTACCTGTACAGTACAGATTTTTGTAAGGTAGCATTAAAAGAGAAATCAAATTATAAAGCTTGGAATGGAGTGGGAGCCTAAAAGCCTGAGAACTGGAATCAGTACAGTTTCTTAGATGTACTTATTATTTTTAAAACAGGTATTACTATGTGTCGGTTAACCCTCATTGATGTAATGCTCTTTTTACTTTAAGGCTCACCAGCAGAGCAGAAAAGCAGACCGTTTGTTGGCAGCAGGGAAATATGAAGAAGCAATTTCTTGTCACAAAAAAGCTGCTGGTGAGTAGCTCTTTTTCACATTCCAGCTTTTAAAAGCAGTTTCTAGATTTGCATGCCTCATGTAAGTAGGATACCTAGTTACTTGCAAAATACTCTTTTTATTCTTAAAATGTGAATCTGTTTTTCAGTCCAGATCAAGCACCCTTTTGGAAACTTTTTCTCTAATATGAGCATCTAAACCCAGATGTTTCCAAAGTGTTTTGATTAGGGGTGGCTATCACTGTGAAGGCAGTTCTTGACTCAAGATGAAGCCAACACCTTGTGTCATGCACAAACTGCAGTTGGGGACCTGCTGTAAGCCAGTTTCACTCTGCTTTCATAGCTGAAGTCACCTGCTTTCTCAGTTGATAAAGGAAACATTTAGACAAGTGTTTGCTTACAAAAGTTTACTTACTTCCTTTTCCTAATGTCTGAATCAAGACAGCTAAGACCAGGTGATGAGCTCAGCTTTCACAGAACTCAAGCAAGATTGCATTGCAGGCCTTGATGCTGCAATCGACAGCCTCTCCTAAGTCAGACTTTGTGCATTTACCTGTCCATTTAACTAGTAACACTTACTTATTTGTGTTGGAGTCTGCCAGCTGGCTGACAGTGCAGCAACTGCTTGGCAAAAGAAGAAAGAGGAGGTCTTAATTGATGCAACAAGTAGGACATTTCCAGTGACAGTGCTTGTGTGGAGACAAAATAAGTGGCTACTCCGAACATGATAACCTAGATACCAGCCATTCTCACTTCCCATTCATAAATCCTAGAAAACCCCATAAAATGAGAAGCTGATAGTTTCTTTGGTATTTAGGAATACTCAGAGCAACAAGGGATAGCACTTATGTTCTAATACGCAGACTTTTCTTTTTGGTTTTCTTCACTTATTACCAAGACAAAACCCAGAAATGCATTGAATGTTTATTGCTTTTCTCTATCTGATGATTCTATGCTATTACCTTACATCCTTCCAAATTTGGTTAAGAATTTCTTATATCTTGTCATTTTCAGCACTAGCAAGGTATGCTCAAAGTCTGAAGTGCTGCTCTGGCTGTAAGCCAGCACTTTTACTTGTTTGGAGGGGACACTGACAAAAAAAAGCAGGCAACTATGGACTATATAATTAAAAAGCATGACTTCATAATACTGGTGTGCCACAGGCGAGAGGATTTTACTTACCACATTTTGTCTTAAAATGCTTGTGTGTTAAAAGTCTGGTCCTTAGCTGTGTTTCTTCCCTTCACGGGAAAGTTTTTCTTCTGGGACTTTCTGGAAATGTCTGCTGTCCTCCTCTGAAAAACAAATTGGAAGAACTTGAGCCAACAGGATGCCATGGCAAGGGTGTAGCATGTATTACACAATCTTACAGTAATTTTTTCAGACTTTTGAAAAACAGCAGGTGTTTCCAGCCACTGTAACTTGGTAAGTACTTTGCCTCTGGACTGCTGCTTTTATGTGGTGATTCAGAACACAGAAGGTCTGAAGCCTTTTCTTAGCTTTTATGGAAACGTTCAGGTTTTGTAACCCTGTTCTAAGTGTTTATCAATTTTCTCTTCCGCAGCATACCTTACAGATGCCATGAAGCTGACCCAGTCAGAGCAGGTGAGACCAAAGTGCAGCAGACTCCAGAATCAGCCATAGCTCTGTTGTGTGCCTGAATGTCATATTGTGCCCTGACTGATTGTACCCCTCTTGGGCGTTAGCCTCTGCATAGTTTTCTGAACCCATGACAACTGCACCAGCAGTTTTAGAAGTGCAGTTATGCTAGTCTTCCTTGGAAGTTTTTCCAAGTTTACATGGAGCAGGGACAGCAGAACTACTAACCCATCCAAGGTTTCTCCAACAACAGTTTCTAGTCTGCAAGGCATCTTCAAGTAGGTGATAAAACTAGTTTCATATTTAACTTCTGCTGTGAGGCACTTGAGCTGTTTTGCTGAGACACAAAGCTGAGCTTCTCATCTACAATCTGTAATTTTGGTTTTATTCATCCTGACTGGGGGATCTCCAGAACAACAGCCCTACACCTTTCCGTATTCATTGCACAAATCTATCTGAGAATGGAGTAGTGTAATCTGCTCAGCGCTTTCATAGCAGCAGGCTTTGAGTTTAGTTAATATTACCAAAGCAAATAACCCTTGGAGATCAGACATCTGTCTTTCCTCCAAAGGGTCATTCTTACAGAAAAATGATAGCCTCTTACCCAGGTGGTTCCTGTGAGTTATTAACCTCCACACCACTCCCTTCATTAAATATGGCTGAATCATTTGGGACCATATCTGGCCTTGGAGCACTTTTCTGCCTAGTGTTGAGGGTTATTAATACGTCTACGCAGATACCATCACAGAGGCATACCAATAGTTTGTATTAGCTAAAGTGTGGCTGTGCATGCCAAGTGAATCTCTTTCTTCTTGGTGTTGGTCATAGGTCAGTTAAACTCCTGGTGCCTCCACTTCGAAGTATTATCATAGCCTGGTCAGTGACTTAAAACCAACCAACCAACCAAAAAGACCTGATGTTAACTGACTCCTTCGCAATACTAGTAGTTATGATAAATTTGGGTGAGACTGTTGCATTGTACAAGCAGAGATCCCTTCTTGTTGGATTTAGTATCTGAATAACAAAAGCTCCTCCCCTTCCCTCTGGCATGCTGTGATGCTGTTTATGTAAATATTTACATGCATGTAACTTTACTTGCATGAATATTCAGGTAGGATTAGGGATCACCAATTAAATTGTTTAATCTTGTTCTTACTCAGGCTCAGCTATCACTGGAATTACAAAGGGATAGTCACATGAAACAGTTACTGCTCATCCAGGAGAGGTGGAAAAGGGCAAAGAGGGAGGAAAAGCTGAAAGCCCAGCAGAATGCTGACAAGGAAATAGCTGCACATCTTCAGACTTCTTATAAGCCATCTGCTGAAGACTCTGATGATCAAAACGTATTGGTTCCTGTTACTCAGAAATACAGCCCTTCCACAGAGAAACATCCGCAGGATATTCAGGGTGTCTTTGACAGGGACCCGGATACACTATTATTTCTGTTTCAGAGAAAAAAGGAGCCGGTAGAAGCATGTATTGGGAGCAAAGCTCCAAAAGATGACAAAACAATAATAGAAGAGCAGGCAACCAAAATTGCAGATTTGAAACAGCATATAGAAATTCTTATAGCTGAAAATGAGAGATTAAGGAGAGAAAATAAGCAGTTAAAAGCAGAAAGAGCTAGACTCCAAAAATCCCCAGTAGACAAGGAGTTGGATGTAGATGCTGACTTTGTCGAGAAGTCAGAGTTGTGGGGTCTGCAGCAACACTCGGAAACTACTTCTTCAGCTGCAACTTGGCAGAAGTTTGCAACAACTGCTGGGAAGGCAAAGGACATTCCAATACCCAGCCTTCCCCCCCTGGACATCCCGTCCCCTGAACTCCCTCTGCTGGAACTCTCCGAAGATATTCTGAAAGGACTGATGAATAGTTAAAAACCAAGAAGAGTGCTCAGTGTAGTTACCCAAACTTCAGAAAAGGGAAAACCGCCGGGACAATGGCGATCTGAGGGCAGAAACATCTAACACAATCCTACTGTTGGAGAAAAGGCATTAAAGCAACTTTGTTACTGTGAAATACACACCATATCTGATCTACTTCATAAAAGTTAAAGGTACCATAACCGGTATAAGATGGCAACCTCTTTAGTCTTTCTCCCAATGTTTCAAACCAAATGACTGCCTGGAGAATGTTTCAAGTAACACAATCCTTCAGGGTTTTAAAGTACGCTATATGTAATAGTAATCTACAATGCCATAAATGATGGTGCAGAACCTAACTGTTACGGTTGCCAGTTGGCTACCACTTCATATTGAAAAATGCTTTCTAGCATGAATTTAAACTGTGCATTTCATTATGCATAATTTTGTTAATTCAAATACAGTGCAATTTATACACCTCCTAGATGGATTTATGTGCCACGCTCTATGCCACTCCTGACCACGTTAACCTCAAGTCAGGAGAGATTTTAATTTCCATTCTATGAAGGAAGCAACTTACTAGTTCTGTTGATGAGTTTTTTTGGGTTATCTGTTTACATAACTAATCAGGGTGCATTGAATCTAGCTATTGGTTTCTATATGAAGTGACATTGTTTAAAAAAAGAAAAATCTATACTTAAAGAAAAATACCCTTTTTGTTTTCAGTGATGCATGAATGGAAGTAATTCTGGCTGGCAGTATTTGATTGAAAAAGAAATTGTTTACAGCTTAACCTGATTCAAAAAGGATATGAAAATAAAAACCAAGGTGTTTTGACACCAAACATGTTAAATCTCTACAAATGTTGCAGAGTATACAAAATAAATTAAGATTTATACTAACAGCGTCAGTACACACATACAGCTGAACTTCTGTGTTCATCATCCAGCAAATATGGGAAAGCTGGGATGAATTCAGAGGGCCCTGCCTATACGTGAAGTGACTTGGCTAATAGCTGGCTTCTGACACCTACAGAGCGCCAAAGCATCAGAGGAAGCAGCATGAAGCGTTTGCCTGGGGACAGGCTACCCGGAGCCAAGCGAACCGCGCCACCAGAGCTGTGCACACCGTTCAGGGTATTGGTTTCTGACACGCTCAGCTGGTGCCCTGCCCCGGAGCGTTAGCCAGCCCTCCCCCTGCACTGGGGTGGTACCTGAATCCAGGCTTTCCGAGGGGGAGGGTGTTGCAATGTGTTGTGGAGGCATTAGTTAACTTTAGGGGTTACTGATTAATGAAAAGCGTTAAGTGTTGCAAGCTATCCCAATTTAAGTTATTCTTGTGCTGTTATAAGGTAAACTTGCTTTCTAAGGGTACATTTTTCTTCCAGAATAGACTTGGAAGTGTAGGAAGAACATTTTACTGCGGTGCAAATTCGCCCCTTACCTCTGTATACCTGGTGTCTCCTGTGCTTGCTGGAAGGAGGGTAGGGACTGGAGGCTAGAAAAAGCCTATGGAAACAAAGGTAAGACGAGTTTGTTAGAGGAGGTCCCTTGTGCTGAATTGTAGCCAGAAACTAATCTTGCTGGGGAAATAAAAGTTATTTTTCAGTTGGAGCAGTTCAGCACATGGCCCCACAGAACAGCTGTGATGAGGTAACCTGTTCCAGGTCAGCCCCAGTACACTGCTCCCAAAAAAGGGCAAGTTACATCCTCCACCATCACCTGCCTGGCTGGCTGTTACAGGTAACGAGGCAGTGGAGCGTAATGTTTCTATTCATGTGAGTAAAGCAAAAAAAAAAAGGTATGTGCTCACAGTAGGAAATGAAATTATTTGTGCGCCTATCTCATGTCACTGCCAGGGATGATAGCCCAGGGCTGTTAGCTAGAGACACATTTCAGCTGTCTCTGCGAACAGCAGCTGTAGGAGAAGGAAGCAATTTTTAGCCTGGCTACCTCTGCTGAAGAGTCAGGATTCTTCAGAGGGGTAGTAGGGGAATTACAAGCTCTATCTTCTGTTTTTAAGACTAAACTGTCCCTTCATATATAGCTGCATAAACAAAACACCAGATCCAAAGGAGGCCGCTTCTCTGTAGGGAGATAGCCAAGTAGGGGCAATACTCCACGCTGCTACTTTTGAAAGTGGTGGTAAAATTTTTCTCTCTCCTGCAACGCAAGTGTTTTTTCTTGCAGTCTGCTTACTCAACACATGATGGCTGCTGAAATCAAACTCCAGGCAGCATGGCTCAGCATGAGAGTTTTCCACTCCCATGAGTGATGCAGAGGAGAATGGGTGCAACATTCCCTTTAATAGGATAGGAGTGCTGAGCTGCAGCCCAAGCACTGCTAGTATTACACAAGCCCCATGAAGGTGATGTGGAAAGCTGAGTATTTTTCTGTGTAATACAGAGCCTGTCCTAGAGCTGGAGCAGGTGATGCCAGTAAAGAGTCAGACCACGTCCTGGTGAACAATGCAGGTGCTCCTGCTGGAAGGAGAGCCCTGGCACCACCAGCCTCTTCTTTCCCTCCCTTCCACACAGCAGCACAGCCCACCAGCCATGAAGCCTACAGCAAGACAGGCATGTGGGAGCAGATAGGGTCACCCCTTTCGGCAGCAATGTGGGACACCCTACAGCTGAGAATCCATTGAATAATGACTTTTCTGTATAGAAGCTAAGTGTATGAAATAAGATGAAATATTTTAATTTCTCCAAGAAAGGAATTCTTCAGTCTGAATTCAGAGCTAAGTGATTACACAGTCCATCTAAAGAACTAAAGGTTGTATAGAGAATACTCACCACTAGAGGACAAGTTTTATATAGTGGTGAATCTAAGGAAAGTCTTCTCCAGTGTCTGTCAGCAATTAGTTTATCCCCCAACAATTCAAAACAGTTTTAAATTATTATTGCCTTTCAGCTCGTTTGAGTTCTGGCATCATGAAATGATAAAAAGAAACAGTTTTCCCTCCCTATGCCTCCAGGTTAGTTGGCATTATTGTTTCTGCACCTCTTCCATGCTCCCTTCCTCCCACTGACAGCAATCTTCTCCCTTCTCCCTGATGGAGGTACCAGCCCCGCGGGAGGCAGAGCACCCACCCGACTGCCGCTTTCCCCTGGGTTGCCCGGACCACCGCCTGGTGGAACCCCCTGCCCTGTTCGGCTCCTGCTCCAGCACCACCCCCTCCCTCTGCTGACAGTGTCGTGTTCCTGCCATCATCACAGCAACCAGCTTATCCCCCACAGCCTTTCCAGGATAACAAAAAGGCGCAGTATCTGAATATTATGCAGAAAGGAACCAATTTTGCAGGAACAACAAAGTGGTGAGTTCTTGGTGGTCACACAGCGTAACCAAAGCCTGGCACACAGCACGTGGAAAGATTCCCATGGGCGGGGAGTCTGATCTGCACTGTTTTATACTGGACAGAACTAAAAACTTCTGTGGTCCATTATTTCAAAGTGTCTCACCAAGAACCAATTTTAAACATGTGTCCAGACACTGACTTCTATTCATAGACTTTGCTTTACCACAGAGACCGCTCTTGTCTTGGAACACAGAAACATTATCCCTGTTGAATATAGCCAACATATGCTTTGCAAAAAGAAATTGCAATTACCCAGTCTCTGGCTGTATCTCTGCAGAAGGATAAACCAAGGAAAGGCAACTGGGAAGCAACGTGGAGTCTCCTGAGAATAAAATCTGCAGACTGCACCACCAGTTGCTACTTACAGTGACAGCTAAAACCAAAATATAGAAGTGTTGGGTTTTACATTTTGGTTTTATATAAAGGGAAAAGAGGATCTTGTGACCTCTTCCTCTGAGAGTGTTTCCATTTTCAGGAGCTCTGGCCTTGAACTCCTTCCCACTCTCCTGCCAGCAGCAGCTCTTCAGCCATCGGCAGTTCCTGTTGAACTTCTTTCAGTGGTGGGGACTACACCTCATCCAGGCTCCCTTTCCCACGGAAGGTTGGCCCAGGTGATCTTTTGAGGTCCCTTCCAACCTGGGCTGTTGTATGGCACTGCGAAAGCAGGCTTGCTGGCAAAAGAGAAGGAGAAAGACAAGCACAGCCCCAACAGCTGATAAAATCCCTTACTGAATTGGACTAAAAATACAGCGGGAAACAAAATCAATCGGTCAAAGTCTTCACAAGTAATCAGAGTGGTAGTGTGGCTGCCACAAGTCGGGTATAGGCTGGACAGTATTTGCCAGACCTCTCTGCCTGAGTATGCAGCCCGCGGAGTTCAACTGTATGAAAAGATGTTCATTGCTCCCTAAAGACTCAGTGCTACGTCCAGCTTTTCCTCCACCTCTTCTCTCCCATGTCCATTTTACCAGGAGTAACCTAAACTTACCCAGGCTTTTTGTCTTGTAATCACTTGAAGTGTTCCCTCAGGCCCATTTGCTACAGGAGTTAAGGTATTATCGACATCAAACAATATGAAATCCTTAGAGCTGTGAAAATACAGGATTTCCTGCCTCTCAGAACTGCTAAACCCTATTCTTTAATTCCACTAAGGAAGCACAGGGCTACAATAAAACCACATGCCCAGGGACTGGAAAAAGAAACAGGCATCTGTGTCAAGAATATATTGTATTAGTGTGGTTGGGAGGGACCAGAAATGTTTGCTTTGAAACATAACAGTAAAAAATCCCTCAGTCTACCACTTAGCTTTAGAAAGACCCATGTTCAAAATGCAACTGTTTGCACGCAACACATCAGGTAAAATTTGTCTTCGATTGGCTGTGAGGCAAGATTTTCCTACCAGCTATATATAGATCGCAACTTCCTTTTCAAAACCTGCGAGACCAAATGAAAGCAGTGCAGAGGTTGGATTGTGTGTGCTGCCACCGCTACAGATCATTTGCTCCTCGCTCAGAGTTTCCTAGGTCGCCCTGCTGAGATGGAAAGAAAGGGACGTGGCGGTGGACGCTGCATCCAAGAAGCCCCCATGCCACCGAGTGCTCCTCTGCCCTCCTGGGGCACGCGTATCATGGGAACGCAAAGGCAGAGAAGGAAAAGCGGCCCTCCTGCTAACAAAGCGCGAGTCAAAAGGTGGAAGGCAGGAGCACAGCAGAGAGCTGACATTGTCTGAGGCAGAGCCGGGGGTTAGGAGGGGAAAGCAGCGCGAAGCCGTACTCCGGGAGACTCAACAGGGAGAGGCAGCTCGTCCAGCACGGATGTGGGGGAGAGCACAAACATCCTGCTCAGGAAAGCAGCCCAACAGGGCGATGGTGGCTGTGGAAGGAGGAAGGAAGGGAAATTCCCAGTTAGGGGTGCAGGGCAGGGAAGGCCGTCAGCTGTGAGAGCAGGAGAGGGCTTGACAGGATGTCACGGGAGAGGGTACGAACAAAATTACCACCTACCGAAGAGGTCAGGGAGCATGAGAACGTAGTGCTGATCCGATGGGGGTTCGGTTTACACACACAGAGCTGAGCAATTTCCATGAAGCTGGAAGAGTACAATAAATAGCTTTTAATATCCCCCTACGCCTGACCTGCCTAATGGGGACCAGGGTTTCACTGCCGGCATGTCCAGCAGTCCCACAACTCCTGTGTCAGCTAAACCATATATGCAGTCATGCATCCGTGCTGAAATACTTCAGGTCATAGCAGCCCCGCTTTATTCCTTGCTAATTACTTACTCTTCCTTAGTTACCCCTGCAGTTACAACAGGAAGAAAATTGCCATGGCCACTTCCTGTAGGGCAGCGCAGTGGATGGAGGTGGTGACAAGGAGCTGGGAAGGGGTGGGTGAGGGAGGGAGGGAGGGAGTGTGGGGGGAGCAGGGCTTGCAGTTTTGATGACTTTGAGATGTGAGATTTCAAAGGACAGAAAAAAAAAAAAAGTTTCACGGAGAGCATAGCAGGTCAAGACAGGGCTCGGTCTCAATGGGAAGGTGGCGAAAGACGACACAGTACTTCATATTCTTGTTCTAGGAGTTGACAGCGTTCCTGTGCTCAGCTTCAGCTGATCTCGTTGAATACTTTTGGCTACATTAAAATAGTTGAGAATGTTGACCAGAAAACCTCCTGAAGAGTCTTTAGGAAAGGAAGAGGGGAAAAAACATGCCCAGTAATGCTTTGCAGAACACGGAAATGGTTGAGAGGGAAAAACTAACCTGAAGACGGAAAGACGGAACAGCTCCCCACAAACCCCTCTGTAGTCTCAGGCATCGGCTAGGGCAATCTCGGGTCGGACTGGCAGCGAGCACAACGCCAGCCCGGCTTCCTGCTCCGGTTTCCTGTAGGGGAGCGGGGAGCTCCGCTTCGTTGTGACAGAGCCAAAAATCTTAAGATACTAAATAAGCCGAATTTGGTACACTAAGTACTTTGAAAACCCAGAATTTTTGGCCTCTTGTAAGTGGTATTTGGAGCAGCTGTTACCTTTAACAAATTCTTGCGGCCTGCGCCTCGCAGAGCCTTTTTGAGTTGACGGCAGTAAATGTTTTACAGCGCTCCCCGTCGCGCTCAGCTTGTGCCACGTTTTCCTCGTTCATTCGCTTTTGGCTTCTTCCCCTCCCGTTAGTTACTGGGAAACACCGACATTGTTGTGGGCAGTCGATGAGGCCGTCCCATCCACACCCGCAGCAATTCCCAAAGCAATTTGCAAAATGCATCAGGTTATGTTTTTATGCATTGCAAACCCATCAGATGTACCGATTAACCCCAAAATTTTAAAACTATCCAGCTGGTATAACTACCATATCAATTTACTATAGATAAACTCCACTAAACAAGTCGAGTGGAGGGTTAAACGCTGTTGTGACTACAGTGAAATCCTATTTATGCAGCTCAAACTGATTTATCAATTTATCTTTGCTATGGAAACAACAAAGATCTACTTACCCCGCTGACCATGCAGGACACCGTGCAACGTCACAGCTTCAGCCCGTCAGTCTTGCCTCTCCAAAATGAGACTTTGTGTCTTAAAATCCCGTCAATCTCTCGGGCTTTTCTTTGGGAGGGGTTCTTGCTGCTTCACCATCCGTTTCACGCACACGTTTGTGCAGATTAACAACTTTGCCATACGCTTAAGGATTCATCAGCAAAGGTGGCAGGAAAAAGGTCACAAAGGAAGAACTTTAATATTCACACTTGGAAATACCAATTTGCCTCTGTTCAGCGACTCACTCAGTTACCCCCTGAGGCGGCAAGACCTTCCTCATCCTCACAGACCGAGGCAGGGATCCCCTGGGGTCTGTAAGTGCTGTGGGGTGGCAGGGGCAGCTGTCAGCGACCCACGAGGGCCCAGGCGGGTACCAGAGCTGGGGCCCAGGAGCACCGGGCCCCGTCTGCTGCGCAGTTACTGACCCTAAAGCACTGGAACCCTTCGAGAAGGGGTGGAGCAGGAGGCCCGAGGTGTTGGCCAGGACAGAGCAACAGGACAGATGGTAACCCATGGGAAACCAACCCACGCCCTTCCATTCCCCCACCGGACACCCCAGCCCAAGGAGCGAGCCGGGACAACAGCCTCGGCCCAGGCCCAAACAACTCCTCTTCGTGTAAAGAAACAAGGGGGTGGGGTGGGGGGGGGGTGA